AATTATTGAAATTCCACTTTTTCCACCTGAAGGTTCTTCACAAAGTCACAGGGGAAAATCCTGAAAGTCGATGACACCTAATGATACACCTTTTTATAATATAACTCCTTATCAATCGCTAGAATCGCCATGCTAAAATGTAAGTTTAACTGGGTAACTGATATACACACACACAGAGACATATTGATTATACATACCTAAATATGCGTATGAAATTGAAATTCTATGAACGACGTTTATATCGTTTATCTATTTCCAACCAAAAATCCGGTTAACAACTCAATTTTGAGTAGTACGATAGCTGGCAACACTTGTATCTGTATTATAACTTTAGAATCGTTCAACCAATACTTTTTGTTTGTTTTTAGATTTTATTGGGGACAAAATGACGGTCAAGTTTGACATTTAACCTGGTTTGTTGTAATTTGACAGCCTATTAGTTAAATGAATTGATAGACGACGTAGTTATGATAAGTGAGCATAACAAAATGTATGTGGTAAATACCCCGATTTTGTCAACAATTTTATTACATGCCTTGCAAGCACGTACGTAAATATGCAACCGTCGTGTCGATTTGGATGACAACGTCTCTTTAATGATCTTTAATGTTCGTCCTGAATTTCATAGAATTTCAATTTCATACGCATATTTCTTAAATAGCTCAGCTTTTGGCTTAGGAACTATCAGATTACCTTGAGTGACACCTCTTAATGAGTAAGGATTACTAGAATTAATAATATTCGTCTAACTCCACCAGAAGAGAAGTCAATTTTGAAAAAAAATTAAAGTTGAAACATGTTTAGGTAGAATTTACATTGAAGGTTTGATTGCTTGAATGTTTTGCTTAACGTTTATTGACAAATATTTCATACATATTCAGGACGAACATTAAAGATCATTAAAGAGACGTTGTCATCCAAAACTAATTTATATCAACAATAGCATACCGAGTTTGAGGCTTAACCTCTTTACAATAAGTGTAAGTTTTAAAATTCCAATAATACAGATACAAGTGTTGCCAGCTATCGTACTACTCAAAATTGAGTTGTTAACCGGATTTTTGGTTGGAAATAGATAAACGATATAAACGTCGTTTATAGAATTTCAATTTCATACGCATATTTCAACATTGTTGTTGAAGTCAATTTCATACGCATATTTATAATTGATTAACATTGTTGTTGAAGTCAATTTTGAAAAAAATGAAAATTGAAAATGAAAACCAAGGAAAACATATTACAATGGGTATATACTGCCCCTAATTGACTACTGCTGTATTATTTGGGGTGAATGTAAAAATGAAGGGACAACAAGAATTTTAAAACTTCAAAAAAGGGCAGCAGGATTAATTCTAGATGCAGATCCTTTATCCCCCTCAGCCCCCTTATTTAAAAAACTTGGGTGGATGACAGTTGTCAATAGAATCAAATACCACAAATATTTACTTCTATATAAATGTATGCGTATGGAAGCACCAATGTACCTAGTTCAAAAGTTTAAACTGAAATCAGATAATGATCCTTACTCCTTGAGAGGTGTCAGTCAAGGTAATCTGATAGTTCCTAAGCCAAAAGCTGAGCTATTTAAGAAATCTTTTGTTTATTCTGGATCAATGTTATGGAATGGACTACCACACAAGATGCGTAAACCTCAAAACACTTATACTTTTAAACAAAGTATCAAGAAGTATTTAACACAGTCCTGATTATGTTTTCTACAATGTATTTGTATATTTTTTTTTTTTTTTTTTTTATTATTTTTATTTGATTTTTTGACTACATGTACATCTTGAACAGCTTTATATCTTATCATGTTAACAATATTACATTGAACTACTTGACTGTAAATAAACTATGTGTAAATATCTGTTTTTGATTGTATTGTAATTTGTATGTAATTTGTATGTGAGGGCCTTAGGGAAGATTAGTTTATTGTAACTAACTGAGTTTACCCTCTTTAAATAAAGAATTTATTATTATTATTATTATTATTATTATTTGAATGAACTATAATAATAACTAAGTATTACAGTTTCCTGACCTTGAACACGCACAAAGTAACTTATGCCCACTGTGGACGTTTTGTTTATTACTTTATGTTCCAAATTCGATTTAATAAGATATAAGCTTCGGTATTAACATATTAAAACTATTGATGCCAAACATGAGCGCTCAACCCAATGTTGAAAGTTGGATACCTTGATAAATTTTACTCCATATATAGTTAGAGTAAAAAGTAAAACAACAAAGAATACCGAACTCCATGGAAAAATCTTAACGGAAATCAAAAGCTCAAACACACCAAACGAATGGATAACCACTGTCATATTCCTGACTTGGTACAGGCAATTAAACTAAAAAAAAAAATTAAAACCAATTTTGTAAAATATTTCGTCTCCATTAATATAGTTTTTTTTCCTATAGTTTTAATTCAACATTTATGCATAAAGTAAAAATATTTACACATACTTGTAACCTTAAACAATTGAATCGTGTTTGTTCTCCAAACATAAAATTGAGAATGGAAATGAGGAATGTGTCAAAGAGACAACAACCCGACCAAAGAGCAGAAAACAGCCGTGAAGACCACTAATGGGTCTTCAACACAGTGAGAAAATCCCGCACTCGGAGACGGGCTTCAGCTGGCCCCTAAACAAAAATGTGTACTAGTTCAGTGAAAATGGACTAAACTCCAAAACATATAAATGAACTAAAATTAAAATAACATGTTTGTCCGACAACCGTTTGTTCACAGAGTCTGTTAACCGTGGATTCATTTGCCTTCTTTTTTAAAATAAAACATTTGTTTAGTAAACGCATATGATATTTGGATTTTGGAATTCATATAGATATATCTGTGCGTCAGAATGCAAAAGGGGGGATTAAATCCTATGGTGCGTGCAGAGAGAGTGTCACACTATCTGTTTGTTTAAGAACCCTTGCATCATCTCTGAGGTTCTGTAAGTTGGAAGGCAGATGGTCGTCCTAATCCCCTTCCCCCACTAAATCCTGGTCGACCTACCTGTTGTATTTATTGTTTAATAACATACACGGTACCAATTTTGCTGCACCAGATGCGCATTTCGACAATCAATGTCTCTTTAGAGATGCTCGAGGCCAAAATATTTGAAAAGTTTATTAAAAGGATGAAGAGTTATAAACCAAAAAGGCCAAAAAGTATAGCCAAAAGCCGGGTAAGGAATCAGAGCTTTGCATGAGGGAGATATATTCCTTGATTGAAAATGATTTCAAAAATTTTATAACAGCAAATTTTCATAACACAAAATCCGCATTTTTATGCCAGTACCGTAGTATTGGCTACTGGGGTTGTGATACCCCCGGGGACTATTAGTCCACCAGCAGAGGCAACGACCCAGTGGTAGTAATAACATAAACGGTGTCAACTTTGCTGCGTCAGATGCGTATTTCGACAATCAATGTCTTTTCAGTGATGCTCGAGGCCAAAATTTGTAAAAATCCAAAGCTTATTAAAAGAATGAAGAGCTATAAACCAAAAGGGATTATTCAAGTGTTGAGCACGCATGGAATATTTGTCGCTATACATTATGCAAACAGCAATGAATAAATCGTGTATCATAATACCAAAACAACAAAATAAGGGACTATTTATTCAACTTTGAGAGGGCTTACGTTTTGTTTATTATAAAAAGTTTATTTCGAGACATGCAAGCATAGCATATTTTGTTTATTTGTCACAAAAATAGGAAATTTTAATGCAAATACTCAAAGAATTATCCATAGGTCAGAAAGAAATGACTACTTTTGTATTTATGATATACACAGTACTATGATAAAAAAAAAGAGATGTGGTATGATTGCCAATTGCAATGAGACTACTATCAAGCAGAGTCATGATGACGTGGACACAAGAAATTGTTATTAGTAACCGTACAGTACAGCCTTAAACGGTGAACAAAATTCATATTGTATACATGTAGTATGCTATATAAAGGCCTAACCATCACAAAATGGGAAATAAATTAAACTAGAAAACTGATCGCATGAAATTATGACAAATAAATTTACGAAAAAGAAATATGATAAACAGCAACCAATGACAACCATTGAATTACAGACTCCTGACTTAAAACAGCCACATAATGAATGTTGAGGGGTTAAACATGTTTATTTGAATATACTTTTAAGAAGGTAGTTAATTCTTATGATTTGAACAAGTTGAATAAAGATTATTTTCTTGAATATGCATCAAGGCAATTACGTATGAAGCAAGCTATGGAATGTTTTCCCAATAATTCATATATGACACCTCTACATCATGGGTGAAATGTTGCTTTGAACAAAATTCTTTGACGGAAAGATAACGATTAGAATGCAGCATGACTTACAAAAAATTACATGTACAATGTATGTTACTCGTTTTATGTTCATACTTTGCATACCAATATATATCGGTTAATACAGTATTCCCCTAAGACTTTTTACATCGCATTTATAATTCCCTGTTGTTTTTTTACGTAAGGGGTGGAATTTGTAAAGAATAAAATGAAAATGAAAAGCAATTTCGAGTTTTCATTTTATGATTCAGTTCAGACTGCCTTTTTGTAATAATTTTATAGTTCGTGATATATTAAGAATTGTGAATTTTGAAAATTCTGCAATTGTATTATTTGAATAGTCCACTAGAAAGAAAATAGGATCAATGTCTGATGTCATCTAAAATTTCAGACAGCACTAAATCGGACTTTAATAAAACATCTTAACTCGAGGTTATTTTCATCAGATTTTATAGTTTTGTCCTTACTATAAAATTAATGATATATCATAGTCACTTTGTTTGATTAACGTTTAGCTAAAAAGAAACTGTGCAAGACTCTTCAAATTTGAGATACTTTTGATATTGATCCAAGGTAGAAGGTTTTCTGATCCTAACTGATTGTTTATCCAGTCTTGCTAGGGAGTGTAATGCCTATATATATGTGATTGTAAAAAGCACGACTCGGACAAAGAATCAAAGCATGCGATATTTGTAGATTTATTGTCTTTGGATATTTAAATAATTAAAATCGTCTAACCCTGGGCCCAACAGGATTTCCAAGTAATCTCCTAACTTGTCTTCTTAGACCTCTTATTAGAAGCCCGCCTAGTCCTTGTCCTCTAACTTGTCTTCTTCCTCCAACTTGTCTTTTTCCTCCAACTTGTCTTTTTCCTCCAACTTTTCCTCTCCCTCCAACTTGTCCTCTCCCTCTACCCCCGATGTTTTGTACTCCTCGTCTTCGACCTTGATTATTTAATCTGCCTTGAACGCCTCTTCCACCTCCTCTTCTACCCCCTCGTCTACCTCCTCTTCCACCTCCTTTTATGATAATCTTAGTATTAATATCGCCACCTCTTCCACCTGGAGCTTGATCACCACCTCCGCCACCACCACCGCCACCATCAATGTTGACATTTACTTGGGCAGTAACATAGTTGAGGTAAAACACAATAGATATTGAAGCTATCACAATGATACTTGAACAATTCATCTTCCTTCACTGAAAAAAATCAACAGAACTGATGAGACATTCAGGAAATCCCATTTTCTTACTTGAACTGATTTGAATATTTTCATATATACATATTTTCAATCGTGAAAGAACGTGTTTGCTTTTTCTTTCTATTTATTGCTTCGATATATGATATGACATCTATTAGAAGTATATAGGCAAATATTTCGTGTATCACATGTCGAGCAAGATATATTTACCCTTCCGGAGCACCTGAGATCAGACACCCCGATTTTTTGGTGGGGTTCGTGTTGCTAAGTCTTTAGTTTTCTATGTTGTGTTTTGTCTACTGTTGTTTGTCTTTTCGTCGTTTTTCATATTTGATCACTGCATTGTCTGTTTGTTTTCAGCTAATGAGTTTGGTTATACCTTTGGTAACTTTAACCTCTCTTTTACATGTAAGTGTAACCAGACGTCATTCAATTTTAACAGATCAACTACACGGAGCTTTATTTGCTACCAGTAAGTGCACCTTAACTAGGTTACATATTGTTGTGCTTTTAACTCCGTGAATTGTTCTCCCACTGATCTGGGATATAAGAAGTTCTCACAATACTCGATCACCTCCTGCACATGTTTATGTGCTAGTCTGAAATGGTCATTATTTTTCCTTTTTTTTTTACATTTTTCTCTGTTTTGAATTTATTGTAAATGTTAGATCTTTGTTCGTTGGTGTTGAACTAATTCCTAGTTTGTCTAGACTAGACTTTAACTAGATCTTATAATATAGACTCTTCATTGTAGAGCGTATGTGCAGTTGTCGTTCGATTTGAATTAAACGAAAAATCTCTTTTCATTCGTATTCAGTACTACATAAACAAAAATAAATTAATACAAATTTATGTTTTTATTTAATCGAAGTATTTCCAGCCAAAATATATGTACTTGCAGGCTTAATCGCTTTGCAATAAAATGGTTTTTTTTTCCTTTCGAAAAATGTTCTTGTTGGTCAAATCTATTTAATCTTTCAAAAACTATTATTCAGAAAGCTCTCACCGGCATCGTCCATTTTGCTCGGAGACTATTTTAACTGTGTGCAGATCTTTCGAAAAATTGATAAATTATTACATTGTAAGTTATATATAGTATTATAGATTTAGGACTTGTAGCTGATTTACAAGACATGCACATGCGACAAAAATATTTCCACGCCCTGCTTTGTAAATCAGTTACAAATTCTAAATATTACACAAATTTGACAAACAATGATATTGTAAAACTGTTAAGCGGTTATTTTTGACTGACGCTAGTCCTGAGTATGCATGAAATATTTGCCACTAGACGTTATGCAAAAAAATCAGTCAATCAAATCTTCAATGCAAATTCAACTAAAACATGTTTCAGTTTTCTTTTTTTTTCAAAATTGAAAACACTGTTTAGCAATTATTGACATTTTATGTCATGAACATATTATCATTGAGTAAAATGGTTGCTTAATTCATAAAGTTATGTTCCACTAAGTTTTACGACTTTCAGGATTTGACCCTGTGACGTAGTGAAATAAGTTCTGCGGGAAAAAGTCATATACTGTAGAATAGAACTCCTTATTAATCTCTAGAATTACTGAAATTTATTATGTAACACACACACACACACACACACATAATAATTATACTCTGAACGTACCCAAAAATTCGTATAAAATTGGTAAATTCTATAAACGACGTTTACACTGTTTATCTGGTTCCCGACCAAAAATCTGGTTATCTATTATGGATATAAAGTTGAGCAGCACCAGCTGTATCTGTGTGAAAGAACGTTTCAACCAATGTTTTTCTTTCTTCTCTGGTTTTACATGTTGAAATGTACTATTATGTTATTTATTTATGTATTTCTCTGACATGAATGCTTTTGCATTTATTTGTACTGTTTTCCTGTCACGTAATGTTGTCATTTTAACGGTATTTTTAACATTGCCATATAAGCGGGAGGTTTGGCTAGCCATAAAACCAGGTTTAACCCACCATTTTGTCTTAAAATGTCATATATTAAGTCAGGAAAATGGCAGTTGTTATCACATAGACCGTTTCTATGTATGTTGGCGTTTGTTTTTGTAGAAGTTCAGTGTTTCTGTTGTTCCGTTTTTGTTTCCTCTTATCCTCTTATAGTTGATGTGTTTCCCTCAGTTTTGGTTTGTGACCCGGATTTGTTTCAGTTAAATCGAGTTATGACTATTGAACAGCGGTATACTAATATTGCCCTTATTTTATTTTTACTGGTGACAAAAAGACGGTTCAGTTTAATTTGACTTTTAACCTGGTTTGTTGTATTATGACAGCCTATTCATTAAATGAATTGATAAACGACGTGATTATGATGAGTGTTCATTGATTTATACTACATCTAAAAATATCGTTTGTGGTGAATACCCCGATTTTTACCAAGAGTCGGGAGGAATGGTTGAATAATAGTGATTTACAGAAACCCAATCCAATCTGTCTATAACTACTATGCTACATTTGTCATTGTTTAATGTTTTCGATTAGCCTCCAATTTTTGTATAATTTCCAAGTGAATTCCATCCATAAATAGGAATTTCTAAAATTATAGGCCTGGATTATTAGACATATTGGACATGTTTTTATTGTTTAGAATAACATAACCAAACAAATTGGTCACCGCTTCACAAGTAAATATTTAAACAGCTTGAACACTGACGTCTTGGTGAGCATATTTTTCTTACAATTCTGAATCGAAATACATACATATTTCATTATATAGACTGCAATTTTGACTGAATGTTGGTTAATGATCGATATGAGATCGTAGAAATCTAGGGTCAGCAAAATAATTACCTTCCTTTTATTATGTAACCGTCGTCTCGAATTGATATATCTATAGGAATAACTAAATAATATTAAGCCTCTTGACATTGGACAGACACACGGTAAGTTATGTACCCTTTGGACACGTTCCTCAGTTTTTGTGTGATACTTTATCTTAAACATTCGATTTAATTTATGAACACCGGTATTAACAGATTTAAACCACTGTTGCAGAAAATGAAACATGTTTGTGAACGCTCAACCCTGAGGCCCAACCTAATTTTGAATGTAGAATATTAAATTGCAAATTTTACTCCATATTTAGGGGAAACCAAAACTTAAGTTAACAATAAAGATGTGTGTACAATGGTGTCCACAATTGATTTTTCTTTACAAATATACCCCTCAACATATAGCCTAACCACATAAATTCACGGTTCTGACATCAACTGGCCAATTTATAAGTTTATCCCTTACTCAACCTTCCATAAACAATCAAAATCAATTTTGTAAAATATTTCTTTTCCTTAGAAATAATTCCTTTTCCCGGCAGATATGGTATTTGCAATTTTGAATTCATATAAACGTATCATGAACGTGGGGTCAGAATGAGGTGGATAAAATCCAATGCTTCGTACAGAGAGAGTGCCACACTCTCTGTATGATAACGATCCCTTGCAGCATTTTTGTGGTTCTGTAAGTTTCAAGGCAGTTGGCAGTCATAATTCCTCTCCCCCACTTCATCCTGGTAAACCTACCTATTGTATTAATTTTTCACGTTCTGAGCATGCATGGAATTATTGTCATTGGACATAATGCAAATAGCAATCAGTAAATCATGTATCATGATACAAACACAAAAAATGAGGGACCATTAACTTTAAGAAGGGGTTATGTTTGTGTTCATTCTGAAAGTGTATTTTGAACCATATAAGCAACCAATGATAACCATTGAATTACAGACTTATGACTTGGAACAGGCATACAAAAATGTGGCGGGATTAAACATGTTTAACTAAATATTTTTTTTCCATATGGAAGATTTTCTTTCATAAATATGAATTAAGACAATTATTAAGGAAGCATGCTATGAAATGTATCCCCAAAACATCTAACACCTCTACATCATGGCCGGTGGAATGTTGCTTTGAAAAAAATCCTTAAATGGAAATATAACGATTAGAGTATACCTTACAAAAATGTATGTTACTCATTGGGGTTTTAAACTTTACATACAAACATCTCGGTTGATTAATACAATATTTCCTTAAGACTTTCTACATTGAATTTATATTTTCCTGCTCTTTTTCATTTAAGGGGGAAGCCTTTTTTCCAATGAATAAAATGACAAATGTAAATGAAAGGCAATTTATAATTTTCATTTCATGACTCAGTTCAGACTGCTTTTTTTGTCATAATGTTACGTTTTATGATATATTCAGAATTGTGAACTTAGTCCAGCAAACATAATATTAGATGAATGTTTGGCGTCATCTGAAATTCGAGAAAAAATAAGTAAGAATTTCCAGAGTTTAGTAAATTAAACATCTTAACTCGAAGTTACTTTTGATCAGATTTTTTGGTGTTGTCCTTAATATAAAGTTAATGATATGTTATAGAGTACTGACTCGGCGTAAAGCTATCAGCAATCAATCAATTATACAGTAAGGTAGTCATTTTGTTTGATTTACATTTAGCTAACAAGTAATTGTGCAATGCTCTTCAAATTTAAGATGCTTTTGATATTGATCCAACTTTTTGAAGGTCAAAGATTCCCTGATTTTGACTCTATATCCAGTGTTGCTATTTTGTGTAATATCTACGTGTACATATATGATGTACAGTGATTGTGTACACGCACATTGATTGGTTGATCATTTTACCACTATGAACACAACTTTGAACACTCTTTGCTATATTAAGGTTGCATTTTTTTGTCAGAAAAACCGGAACACTAAGTTAGAACCAATGACCTCTTGCAATTCTAAGATCGGAGTCAAATAGATATATGAAGATGTGGTATGAGAGCCAATGAGACAACTCTCCATCCAAGAGTGTTTCTCCTAAGAGTTGTTCTTCATGGTTAAAGTTCTGTGACTTCCTGAAGTATCTCTTTTACTATTTCAATGTAAAGCATTGTTCACATTCGCCCTTCCGAAAAGACAACAGAGTTTAAGATTTTTAAATGATTTTTGCACTTGCTGGCTCCCTACAAAATCCACAACTGCACAAGTCATTATAAAAAATCACCCATCAACCAATATATATCTGTGTCCACATTTGTTTATTAATGAAAATTGTTATCGTTAAAGTTAAGAGAAAATGTTTCCAAACATATATATGATCATATGATTAATTATATAAAAATTTAGAAATAAATATGGTTTTGGAGGTGACTATTGTTCAAGATGGATAAAATTGAAAGAAGTTAATCATATGACATATTTCTTTATTTGTCCGTCATTGTACTTTTTCAATGGAACATACATTTATGGGAAACATCGAGCTTCCTTTGCTATGATCTCGGAAAGGGAAGTTACTGTACGGTAGGACGTTACTGAGTAGATGTTGTAGTACAGACTGGCTCCTCTTCTTAAACGTCATTACGATTTATAGCACATACATTATCCGAAAATACCTGAAACCATGACACAATTTTGTTATCATAAAGCACAGGCTCTTGGGGGAACGGACTCCTCTTTTTCTTATTTTTTGTTTTGTTTTACTGTTTTTTGAGTAAATATTACTTATCTAGTGTATTTTTTCTCTTTTCCATACGATATTACAATAACATTAGTTAATAAAGTTTGACCCTGGAAAACTATAATAGAGGGTTGAAATTTAGTTCACTTGTTCCGTTGATTGATAGCGTTTAATTTTATCTGTTTTTATGGACTTCCCTTTTTGGTATTGCTTTGGAGTTCGGTATTTTTGGTATACGTTTTTACAAACTACTGTCATTGGAATATCGTATGAAAAAGAGCAAGGAAACGTTAGTGTAAAGACGGTAAAATTTCAAAGAATATATAAAAAAAAAAAAAAAAAAAAAAAAGCAGAAATAAATTTTTAGAAAAAGGGGATCCATTTCCCAAACGCCTGTGATCATAAACATCGTTAGTATTTACAAAATTTATACGCCTAATTGGATATGTATAAATATTATGTCTGTGCGTGTATCTGTTTCCGTGTATAATGTAAGTTCTATCATAAAGACGTCAACAAATTTAATCACAATTATGTCACAATGTTTTAACGCTCACATGTTAAAAAGTACAGCCTATTTTTATATTCTTGATAAAATGTGTAGAAAGAATAGATGATTATTACCAAAAAAATATATGTAGAAAGATTAATTAATTATACAAAATAACACAACTTTTACCTGGCTCTCAAGTGGTCGGTCGTTCACGTCTGAACTTATAAAACAAGTGTTAGGAAAATAAATTAATGTCAAATTCATCACAAGGAAATACAACATGATTACTGCCTACGTCAACAAAAAATAAATACATGTTCTTTACATGTCACCATCATAAATATAAGGAAATCATCATATTAAGACGGCTGTGTGACGTGGAAATTCATTCATACCCCCAAATCAATCAACAATATAAGCCAGTTGTTTATTTAAAGTTGTCAGAGTAGAAATAGATGCGAAATGAACTATACACCGCAGTCCAATTGAAATGGACAAATCCCATATCGTATAGTCAGCTATTTTAAAAAAAGCCCGACGTGACAAAATGTTGAAAAATTCTAACGAGGAAACTCACGGTCTGTGTTATGTAAACAACAATTAACGAAAAACAAATATGAAAGACAGCAACCAACGACTATCCCTGAATTACAAGTTCCTTACTTTGGGACAGGCACCTATAGAGTGTGGTGGGGTTAAATATGTTTGTGTGTAAAATAAGAAAACGACAGAAAAAGGCAACCAACGGCTTTTCCTGAATTACAGGTTCCTTACTTTGGGACAGGTACATATAGAATGTGACGGGGTTAAACATGTTTGTGAGCCCTCAGATCTCCCTTCCCTGGGAATTGTGTTTTAGACAGTTTTTGGTTGTTTTATTCAAGTATTTTTTTATATTTTGAGCTCTTCGGCATTTCACATTGGTGGCTTTGTCATACTTCTCTAATGTAACTTATGAAGGTTATTCCAGAATCACGTGACGTGCGCGCGAAAACCATAATATACACTTCTTTAATGTACCTGATAAAGGTTATTACAGAAACACGTGACGTGCGCGCGAAAACCATAGTACACACTTCTTTAATGTACCTGATAAAGGTTATTACAGAAACACGAAAACCATAGTACACACTTCTTTAATGTACCTGATAAAGGTTATTACAGAAACACGAAAACCATAGTACACACTTCTTTAATGTACCTGATAAAGGTTATTACAGAAACACGAAAATCATAGTTTCTGGTATTATCTGTTAACGGAACTATATAGATTAATTTGATTTGAATCCACCTGGTACAATTTTGGACATCTGATAATGTTCCGTGTAAACATATGTTACTTATTTGTAGACAAAAATGTAGTGAAAATTAATTTGATTTCAATTATATTTTTTTTATGAAAACAATGTCTTCTTACAAGTTAAAAACTACTTTAAAATCCGTAATTTCTGAACATCTTCGAATACCTATCAATAATCCTTTTGATGTTGGTCAAATTAGGCCGTTTAGCGCTTAGCTAACGTGGCAGAATATGGTTACTGAAGTTTTAAAGAAGTAGCCTGTTGGAAGATCGAAAGCTATAACTGTGCCTGAAAAACAGCAAATAAAGAAAAAAAAAAACAAAAACAAAAAACAACAAAACAATGTAAAGCTTTATCAGTATCTCCACAATTTATCAAAATTTTGCACTTTAAAGTCATATACGAGTGATCTTTTCATTCTTGACTTCACTATTTTCAACCTCTCCATCTTCCTTTACCTTTACCACGTCCATTCCCTCTTCCATTTCCTCTACTATTTCCTCTTCCATTTCCTCTTCCGTTTCCTCTTCCATTTCTTCTTAGATTTCCTCTTCCACCTTGATTATTACCTCCTCCACGAAACGATCTTCCACCTCCATTAATTCTTATGTTAGTAATTACATCTCCTCCTCTTCCGCCTGAACCGCCACCGCCCCCACCACCTCCGCCGCCGCCACCAGAAATGTTGACATTAAATTGAGCCATGATAGAAGTTATGTAAAATATGAAACAAAAGATAGCTGTTAAAAGATTGGGAATCCTCATCTTAACTTTCTGAAAAAAAAAATATAAAAAGATGCAGCAGTAGTAAACATTTCATCATTTTCTATAAATTAAGCTACTAGTCTGAATCAATGCTTCATGTATTCTTATTGTATTTACCTATCAATATAGATTTAGCTCGCCAACAGTAGCTAACCAATGTTAGTATCTCTAAAAATAATTGATATAGAAGGTACAAATCAAGGTAACAAACAAAATTTGAGGGAATCGCATTAACCAAAAAATGAGCAAGACAGGGTTCGTCGACAGGGTAAGCGTCTCCTGTTATGAATGCTCCCAATATATAAGTTTGCGCATACTTTACATAGAAATGAGTATAAGATTTCTAAAGTTTAGCTTTAATCAACAATGTCCCTAAATGCTTTATAGGAATACTTTTTTAATGGGGTTATCTTCGATTTAAACATAAAAACTGCACAATAATTTCGTTCTTATTCTCCCCTGTTTAATAATCTTTAATAGTTTTATGAGTCTTTTGGCCGCTAGATCCTTCCGAAGTACACGGTTTCTGACAATTTGAACAGCAGCCGCAATTGTTCACTATTCAAAGGCGTATAACAATGGGGAGAAGTCGTTGAGAAATTTTAATCATAAAAACATAATTACGGTCTGAGTAAAAAAAACCAGGGTAAAGAATTCGAACTATTACGTTCTGGCGACATTTATGTCAAACTGAAGTCTTTCGGTCCGAAACGGACAAAATATTAAATATTTTAGAAAACAACTTTAAATCTTACAGCAGCCTTAACATATCATGCTCGATAGGCACTGAAAAACATGGATGGAAGATAACAAAGGAATGAGTAAAACTCGTAAGTGGAAGAGACACTGACAATTTATTATAAAAAAAACCCCAAGAAAATTGACGAAAAGACAAACTATAGTCTACGAACATAACATAAAAACCTATAGACAAAGCAACACTATATCGGAAAAATACTTGTTACTATTGTATAGAAGCATATTGCATTAAAGACGTTTGTCTAATTGTATAGTCTACGAACATAACATAAAAACCTATAGACAAAGCAACACTATATCGTAAAAATACTTGTTACTATTGTATAGAAGCATATTGCATTAAAGACGTCTGTCTAATTGTATAGTCTACGAACATAACAAAAAAACCTATAGACAAAGCAACACTATATCGTAAAAATACTTGTTACTATTGTATAGAAGCATATTGCATTAAAGACGTCTGTCTAATTGTATAGTCTACGAACATAACATAAAAACCTATAGACAAAGCAACACTATATCGTAAAAATACTTGTTACTATTTTATAGAAGCATATTGCATTAAAGACGTCTGTCTAATTGTATAGTCTACGAACATAACATAAAAACCTATAGACAAAGCAACACTATATCGTAAAAATACTTGTTACTATTGTATAGAAGCATATTGCATTAAAGACGTCTGTCTAATTGTTGATGACTCTTTGTTGCCCTATAGATGTTCTTTGTAATAAGGTTATGTTGCAAGATTGCCAACGGGGATCTATATACCAGAGACCATGGGCTAGGATGTAAATAACTATAGATCACGGTACGCATTTCTGCACTGAGCAAAGCCCATACAGTATAATAAGTTATGAAAAGGACCAATATGACAAAATTATGAACAATTACAAAGGGAAAATCAACAGTTCGGTCTAGAAACAAAACATAAAACAAATATGGCCGACAAGTCAACCTCTAAATTATAGACTATTGACTAGAAACAAGCATACCACATTTCATTATATTTATTTTTTATAAAGAATGGGGAGGACTTAAGGTAGAAGGTAGATTGTACAATAGCAGTACATAATCCGTCTAGTTTTTTGTCTAAACCTGCAAATTTTGAGACAGATTTGAAATTTATGTGTAAGACTGTTTATTTGTATAAAGAAAAATAAGTGAATTATTGCTTTATCCAAAATGACTTTTAGCTTGAAAAATAGTACGATGACCCACACTCTTTATAAAATTTTGAAAAAAGCATATAGTAGTAAAATCTTCGTTTTGGCAACTATAAGAAAATTGTATCTGAGGAAATATATACCGATGATCCACCTTAAACACATTTTGTGGTTTGGTTATTTTTGTCATTGTGTTGCTATCTCATTGATGTATACCTCAAATTAATATTTATCTATATGAATAAGGAACTTCTAATCTATAGAGTACGAATAACAAAAAAATGCAGGATACATGTCATTGATACAGCAACCCAAATAACCAAAAAAGTAATCTTTTCAGGAAAAAAAATTGCAAAGAACGTTTAAATTAAGAAATAATTATTTCATGCCATGCTCTATGCTCATTTTAACATGGTTAAGCACTATATTTGTCAATATCTTTATACCAAGTATAGGGAAGGTGTAAAATGTTGACAAATATAATGCCTACCCGTGTTAAAATTAGCATAGAGCATGGCATGATAGAGTTATTTCGATTCTAATAGAAAACTAAGAACTTCGAAGCGGACCTATAATACGCGTTCAAAAGACGTCCATTTTGAATTGATGAAGCCAAAACGTTATAGAAAATAAATCGTTTAACGATAAACAAATGAACAGATGCATATAAAATTACTTTCAGAATTATTTTGTATAATTTCTATAACTACAAAACAAATGTCAATTTTGATATCCGGTGTTGTTCGTTGCATTTTCAATTGTAACGTCAATCACGTGCAGCCCATGTTTTATTGGAATTAGAACATGGTTTTGTTTCCAAAGCGAAAGAAGGACGTCATATTACAATCAAGAATATGACATTTGTTTACCATTCGTTCTGTTGGGTTTAATGAATTGACCTAGGAATTCAGCAGAAATTCAGTATTTTTGTCAATACATTTTTGACGGAAGTACGTACAACTATAGGTCACCGTACGGCCTTCAACAATGAGCAAAGCCCTTACCACATAGTCAGCTATAAAATCCCCCTCCCCCCGAAATGATAAATGTAAAACAATTCAAACGAGAAAACTAACGGCCTAATTTGTGTACAAATTAATGAACGAAAACAAATATGTAACACAGCAACAAACGATAACCACTGAATTACAGGCTCCTGACTTGGGACACAGAATGTGGCGGAGTTAAACATGTAAGCGGGTGTGATGCAATAAAAACACGTTCGTACGTTTACAGACAAAAAACTTGTTGACAAAAACATACATTTAATTGATGTAAGATAGTTATCCATTTT